CCTTTTCTTCTTGGTTATTATACATGCATATGGAAGAAATCGTACAGTAAAAACAGCAAAATAAGTAATATGAAGTAAAAGAGACAGATGAAACTGACCAAGAAACTTTAGGATCTGTGTAAATGTTCTCTCCCTTAATGAGATATCTGAATGGGAGTTAAGAGGTCTTGTAAAGGCAGAGATTATTTCACTGGACGTAAAACTATATCTAATACCTATATAGTACCCATCTTGTTTTAGTTTGTCACAACAAATTCTGACTATTAACAGTTTGCTACTCATAAGTTAATCTTTTTAATTAAAAATAAAGGATGATTAAGCTAAATGTTAGCTCCTTGCAGTTTGGGTTAATTGCCAGTGTTTCAAGCTAAACGTAATCAGATTTGATGAGGGATTGAAAAGGATTGGGATTTACTAAGAGGATTTGAACCTAGATTCAAATTCAAGAAAATTTTATTTAGTATTAATGCTTTTTAATGTTTCCTGTTTGGTTGTGATTGTGGCACAGGCTAGCTTCATTACATCGGCAGCTTTTTAATGGCAACAATATTTAGTTTCTTTAAAAGTGAAACTGTTTATGTTGATGACCCTTGAGGCTTGGCCTGATTGGATAAAGATTCCCGTAAATGGTTTTCTGACAGACATACTGTAAGCCCTGCTTTAAAGCTGGATTGCAGGACCTTTACATAAAAACAAGCGTCACAAATGTTACATAAAGTAGTTCATATGATGCTGATTCAACCTATCTGTGCTTTTTAAATGTCAGTATTTTAGAATTACCTGTGATTGTGGTAAAATGGAAACATTCAAATGTTTTACATATCAGGCAAAACTCAATATAATCATTAAGTCTTTAAATTAGTTAAATACAACTTCAACCCACGCCTTGTGGCGATTCGGTCCTTACTTAAATCACACTGAGACAGGAAGAAAGCACCATGGGCTTGTCTGGAAAGTATTTGAATGGGGATATTGAGTCCACCATAAACTCTTCTGTGTACCAAAATGTTCTAAAGTCAAATGTGAGGCCATCTGCCAGACATTCGATGCTTGGCCAAAATCAAGCCTCCCATCAGGACAATGATCCCAAATACATTTACTGCAGAGTAGACAAGAAAGGAAATAAAAATCCAGTTCTGAACCCCACTGAAACGTGTTGGGAGTTTGAGGAGACCCGTGCATAAACAAATGATTGGAAAAAGAAAAGCGAAAACTGTGAAGAAGAGAAAGGAAATCATCAATTTTAGGACATTTAGTATTAGAAAGGCCAGTGCAGAATTCCATTTCCCCAACACCACCACTTCTTATAGTTGCATTTTTATTAATTTATGCTAAAGATTATGGAAGTGGAGATTAATCCATTTGTTAAATGTGAACAATGCAACTGGATCGAAAGAGCAACCTAGCACTAATGAAGTTCTTGGATTAAATCGAATGGTGTATTATGTCATTGCATTCATAAAATATGATCTATTCTACTAAAAACTAAACAAATAAATCACCAGCCACTTTGCTGTTTCTTCACGTCTACTATGGCTAGGCGATATATAACATTTTTATAAGAGATATTGTCTGTACAAAAAGTAATGATGGACAATGTATTTGCACAGGTTGTGTTCAGATGTTTTGTGTGCCTGACGCACACTGCATGGAGCAGTCCACCAATCCCAAATGATCTTATTCTTTTTGTAGAAACAGGCCAGGGGGGGTTCTCAAGGTGCCGATGGTTGTTTTTCGAATTCCAACTACTTTATGTGTCAATCAACAATTACATCATGCCTCAATATATTCAAGCTACACGTGAGAATGGAGAGTGGCACTTCTGACTTATCAGACAATAATTGAAGATTTTGTTTCACCTGTTGGATCAAGTAAGATGTTCAAAAATTTGAAGCTAATATGATGAAGCTAATGGAGGTTATGATGAGAAAGAGATGCACTTGAAGGGCATTTAGAATATTTTCGTTGGTATATTATGTTGGATTGTGAACAAGAGAATTTTTGTGGACTAACTAGGTTTTTAGACCCTGGTGGATGGAAAAATCTGTTTTTGTTTCTGGCTTAGATCCCTCCTCACCACAACAGACAGGTTTAGCATCTGCGTCACTGCAGACACTACACCGATCTGTCTGTCAACCCCTGCTCCCTCCGTCCCTCATTGGTCAACGAGACCCTGACACTTATACTTCCCCGCATGAGATAGGACCACGCCCCCGACCAAGAGATGATAATCCAGCCTATTGCAGTTGAGAACCATGGCCTCTGATTCGGAGGAGCCGATCCTCCATTGCTGCTAACCTCCCAGCGAGAGTTAAAGGTCAAAGTGTGATGGAGCTAAGAGAACCACATCATCCGCAAAAAGCAAAGATAAGATCACCGGGCCGCCTTGTGGTTGTTCCATCTTTTATTTTTTTGTCGAAACCTTTAGTTTATTATGTTTAGACTATTTTTCAAACTGGATACAATGAGAAAAATTCTACTACAGAAGTTGTTTAGCTTCAGAAGACAACAAGCCAGTGAAGATCACTGTGCACACCTCTTTGTTTCCATCTTCATTGTAGATTTCTTCTCATTCTTTATATTCGTTGTATAGGTTTGCCTCATACCTAATCTTTACAGAATAAATTAGAACCCCAACTAAAATAATCAGAATAAAACACATATTGACTGAACTCATTTTTTACTTTGTGGTCCTTCTGTAGTCATTCCTTGTTCTGAGTATACATTATTCTGTAGTTTGTCACCTATAGCAGTCCTTTTAGAGACAGTTGCTGTTTAAATTTTCAAAAAATGTCAGATGGCATTTAGAAATGCAAAAGAACAATTCATCGGTTTAGATTTAAACCAAATCATATAACATTGAAAGAGGAAGGAATCTCAAAAGGCACAACAAACTGACCAGTTAAATGTGCCTTTGCTAGTTCAAAATGTGGAAATGTCAGAGATCAGATTTCTGGTCTCTACTGGTACCTCCCAACAATCAAACTTGTATTGTCGAAGCAATATTTTTATTGAATCTTTAAGTGTCTTGTATGTGTGTAAGATGCTTATTAGGTTGCTTGAGTACGCTGGCAAAAAGACAAGTATGTGAACATTCACGCAGTACAGTTGGAGGATTTATTCAACGTGCTGGTGATGAGTTACTGAGGAGTGAAAGGAGATGAAGAGACGCGTCGGCTAGGAGCGCTGACTGAAGAAGGCCTTGGTGCCTGCGAGCCGAGCATTTCTCCATTGACTCGGAATCTTAAGCTTATTCACACTGCTTTTATATTCAAGGCTCTACGCCGGTATGAGCAGCACCACATGCCGTTGACTACCATTTGATTCACTGCAGCTTTCATGGCTGTGGCAAAGTGAGCACAAAGAGCTGTAATAATCACACTGAATGTTCTGTTGTCTCCGCTCGTAAATCTGTCAGCTGTAAATTCTCCCTACTTAAACTTTCATTCACTGGCTATGGTTTTCTACCCTTGCTATTAAAAGGAAACATAAGTTGAAGGAGGGTCTTTGTTGGTGTGTGAGTCCATACATCACCTAAACTAGAGCACCCACCCTCCTTTCTTCTCCCCCCCAGCCCATACACACTCCGAGTCCTCATCTGCTCCCAATCATGGGTGCAGCCAGTGGTCAAACACACACTCACACACGTAAACATACACAATGCAGCCGTTTAAGGCACAAGCTCAGCAATGAAAGCACACACTTGGACTAAACTTTGAGATCTCGTCGTAAACGTGCTGCTTGACGTGATTTCAATGTCCTGTAGTTAAAAACAAATTGACCTATGTGCAACTACACTTTTGTGTAAAATGATAATTTATTGTAATCTAAAATATCAGAAGTGTATGCCTACAGCTAAGCCTTAATCCTCCAGGAAGAAAATCACAATTTTGCCATTAGGTCTGCACATTTACCAGAGATGTCACATCTGTTGATATCCTAGCAGGGTTTGGACCCCATCATGGTATATAAACAAGCACATAACCACTCACACAAATGACAGACAAACGTGAGAGATGCTGATGTGCTTTACTGATGATGGGGTGTCATGGAAACGCCTAGCGTTCACATGGTTACGCACTGTTTACCCCTACAGGACACGCTCTCTTGTGATTGTTTAGAGAGAACGCTTGAGCTACTACATCATCTAGCCTGACCAGAACACACACACACACACACACACACACACCCTTGTTCTGTATCCTTGAGTGAACCCTCCATTGACTTCCATTTATTTAAGTGACTCCACTATGCCTAACCCTAACCCATGCAGATCTATTCCTAATCTAAACTAAAAGTTAATTCACACCATATCTCTAAAACCAAGTTTCAGGGTATTTTGTTATTGTGTGGACCAACCAAATGTCCACACACTACTGGTTAAAACTTAAATTGTGTCCACTTAAGCATCTAAAGTACACACACACACACACACGTTATTGGAATTAGCTCCTTGATTTAGCCTAATAGTTTGTTTTTGTCCTCCCTGCTCTGAGTCCGTGATGGGTGGAGAAACTTTGCCAATAAAGTATTAGAGTCAAATCTGCTAGTTTACCTCCGGAGTGCTTAAGTCAGTTGAGAGATGTGGGGGCAGTCTTTGTTGTTACAGTTGGAGCGACAGGCTGAAATCAGGATCTGGTGTTGTCACTTTCAGGTTTCAAATGTTCTGTAACACTTGGACTTCAGCATGACTTCTAATGTGTATGTCTGTGCATGTGTGCATTTTGTATTGTTGCGAGAGTGGTGTGCATCGATGCAAAAAAAAAACACACGGTAGAGTATGCACTCTGCACACGTGCTCCTATAATGAAGACAAAAGCACAAAGCCGACCTCGTCCCCAGTTCCTTTTTCTCATTAAGCCAATAACGCTGCTTCCTTTGCAGACGTCTTCAGGCTGCTGATTAATAATGCTACTTGTTATTCATTGATACGGTTTTAATGAACTTGCACTGGTGAGCGGGAGTGATAAACTTTTTCTTCATGTTTGTTTTTCCTCCAGAGGCGACTGTTCATCCCACATAGGACCACGCCCCCAGAGTGAGGGGAGGTGGGGCATCTTACCGTCTGTCATCTTGGCGCTGTCAAAAGGTGGGCTAACATCCTGTATGGTTGTCATGGTAACAGCCTGCTGGGTTTAGGTTGAGCGGTTTGTCCGACTCAGTTTCTACTCGTTGCCACACTCTTGCAACATCCCTCTCGACCAGAGCACGGAAATGTCGCGTGTTTTTCTCAAGCAAGTGTTTCATGGAGGAGTTTTCTTTATTTCTCTCTTTGTGTGTTTGTGTTTGAAGGTGGAAAATATTTCCAGGATGGGGGGTGGGGGTGGGGTGGGGGGACTGTTTTCAGCCAGCTGAGAAAATCAGGAGCAGGAAGACAGCAAGGAGACAGGAGGAGAAATCAAATTATTCTCCGTGCTCTACCTGCCACAGAAGCTGAAAGAGAGCATTAATCTTTTCCCCCAATGTCTGCAGGTGACAACAACAGACACACACTCACACACACACAAATGTGCCCAGGCTTTACCAAACCGCACTTTCTTTTTCGTTCCTGTGCATTCTCACACAAACGGATCTGCAGACTTGCTGCCATTGCACAGACAGCAGGGGTGATTGTGTAAGGAGTGAAGTCAGTGTGTGTGTGTGTGTGTGGGGGGGGGGGGGGGGGGGGGGGGGTAAACAGAGTTAGAATGAGGGAACGTGGAGTTCTTCCACACAGAGTTCAAATGTAAAGACAACAGTACATTGATGCATGTAGATACTGTTTTGAGTAAATGCCCAGCATTCCTTAAGGGGATGCTCATCATGTTAATGATAGGTGACCGACCTTTCCGAGTCAGCGGAGTCCAAATCACTTTACAGTGTGTCATTCATCCATTCACACACACATTCACACGCTGCTGAGCTACATAGTGTCCACAGCTGCCCTGGGGCACACTGACAGGGGTGAGGCTGCCAAGCACTGGCGCCACCGGTCCCTCCCACCACCACCAGCAGGCAAGGTGGGTTTAGTGTCTCTCCCAAGGACACAATAGCAGAATTCTCTGCTGAGAGTCGGGATCGACCCTGCAACCCTCTGATAGCTCAAAAACCCGCTCTACCTCCTGAGCTCCGGCTGCCCACTGGTCTCATTTCATGCCCATTTGAAGTTTCAGTGCGTCGATAAACTGATGGAGCCGTCGTCGTTTTTGCTCGAACATCGTTAAGCACAGTCCCACTCAGAATCAAGATCTCCAGCGAAAGTTTGGGTTGTGGGGCAGATGCCGACAACCTCGTCACGTTTTACTTTAATATTCGTAAAACTGGTTGATTTATACAGATTTTTGTGTTTTCTGAGGTTAGTCGTGGCACATCTTGAGTTGGGTGGACTCGAAGGTTAATCACGTCATTGTAGATCTTCTGACAGTTTTGTTAAAACCCTTCTAGCCCTCTGATCAGTCTGGAGTCCATGACACTTTCAGGAAGCCGCTCAGGTTCTTGTTCATGTGCGGTCGAGGTGCATTTTCAGTAACTAACTGTGGTTTTGACTTCCTTCTTCTTACCAACACAGCAGAGGGTTCTGGGTAATATAGTTCTTTTTCCACTCACTTGCATCGATGTCATTTGGCTATAGTCACTAGAACCAGAGATAGTCTAACCGTGGATCTGTTGTTGCAGAGTTTACGCTGTTCTCTTAACCAATCTCTAAATGCCAGACAGATCTACACCAATCTGTTGGATTTAGTTTTTCTTTGACTTTGAGAGAATTCACTGATGATTTAGACCAGTTTAAGGCAGATCAGGTTATGCACCTCCTGTAGAGCCCGCCTCCCACTTCCTCCTGCCTCCTGATCTTGAATAAATGGGAAAAGGGGGTAGGATTTAATAAGCACTAGCTTCCTCCTACTCCTTTTCGAACAGAACATGATCATTTAATTTTTGTGTGATTATCAGTGTGATTTTATTTTTAATGTCTACAATGACTTTGTTATTATTACTATTGTTATAATAGTTATTTTTATTTTTATTATAATGTTCGAAATAAAGATTTAATTCATTCACTCCTCCTCTTGTACCAGTAGCCTGCCCTGATCCTTCTGCCTTTACAGTCCAATCATTTTCAATCACCAGAATTGACCACTAGTCTCTCTAAATGTTCAGTCTTAACCTCAAGATTTCACCAAGCTGAACTCTGAATGGAGCTTTAACATTTACTGAATTCAGTTTGGGGAACCCCCAGACGATAAGCGACGCCTTTCGGACAGGAATAATCCTCCCTCGGTTTAAGGCAAAGCACCAGCACCGCAGCCCGACGGAGCGTCACGGTGCTGTTTGTTGCTCACTTTTTCCCGCTCGCTCATCCTCTACCCCAGAAACTCTGTGCTGCATATTCTCGTTAGTTGCATTGTTTGTTGTTGGTATTTTTTTCACCCACTGCGTGACTCACTGTGCTGTGGGAGTTCTGTCATCTCTTCGCTGTGTTTCCTGTCTTCCCAAACCACGTTTTTGCTTTCAGTTTGTAGTCGCTGTATCCGTTTAGACTCTGCTTGGTCAGAGGCCTGCTGGTTTAGCTGATGTGAAAACACACATGTCTGAAGCTGAAGTGGAACTAAGACGTCCGGGTCAAAGCCAAGGAGACGGTTGTTTGAGATGACATCAGAAAAAATGTGCACCTATGACTCTGGAAAATTATTTAAGCTTATGCTTATTTTTATTTATTTGGCTGGAATGATATCTTATTGGTTTATAGTAAAAGGGCGGAGCTTTAAGCTTATACAGCAGCCTTCCACTAGGGGACCACTGGGATTTTCACACATGATGTATCTGATAAAGTGACTGATGTATACTTTCTAGAAAATTACAATCATCTCTCATAAAGAGACATTAAAACAAACAAAAACTGTCTGAGGGTTATCTCTGGTTTTACCGTGAAGCTGTAAACGGTGAGATTCTGCTGATATCCAGGGCCATCAGCAGGCTCGGGTCCTTCAGCAGAGCGCCGAGGTTCGGCTCCAACCCTGGTCAGCGATCCTACCGCCGTGCTCGTTTAACGACCCGGAAAATATGTGGGTCAGTGTGAAGGCAGCGCCCCCGGGAAGTCACTCGAGTCAAGATCAGGGTTAGGAGTCAGGTCAGGCAGGGTTCAAACCTTTTTCTAGCCAGGTGCATGAGCTGTGATGGTCCTAACGAGGAGCAGGCATGGCCTCACTAGAGCGGAGCTAGTTTAGACACTTCTAGAGGGTGCTGGGCATTTTTTTTGGGGGGGGGGGGGGGGGGTTTCTGAACTGTCTGATGGAAATGGAGATTCTGCTGCTTCTCTGTACGCTTCTCCTCACGTGGTACCAACATGGAGGGTATTGAATTAGCCTGAGGATTGAAGCTCCACCTGTGATTTGCATCACTTGAATGTAATGAAAGTGTAAAAAGGTCAGATCGTTTTTCTTATCATCAAAAGTTTTATTGGTTTATTTGCTTCTTATGTGTGTTGAATTTGGTCAAAACTGTGTGACGTTCCAGCTTCAGGGGAACCAACCCACCATCCTGTTTTCACATCCATCACTCTTATTTCCCCTCGCTGCCCTCAATACTGCCATGGCCGTCTCCTCCTGCTCATCTCATTCCCTCTACCCCTCACTGCTTTATTGTGCCCAGCACCGCCCCGCCACCCCTCTGCCACCAGGCCCCACTGCCTGTAGCGTGTAATTGACTTTCTCCTCGTGCTGGAAAAAGCGGGCGGCCCGCGCCAGGCTGGAGGTGACCCATTTCCCTGGGGCATTCAGCAGCCTCCTAATCAACCATTCTCTGGGGCAGCCTCATTCACTCTGCAATTAGAGCGGCTCCCCCATTGAGAACTCCATCAATAGGCGAACGAACGAACGAACAGGCGGGATTGTAGGAGCAAAGACTAAGTTTCACTCAAACAGTTTGCTTTGGCGCTTTGAGTTCTGAGTACTCCGACTTTATACCTCCCCCCCAAACGCAGCCTTTGCTGCTTTTTGCCTCCTCTGTGCCTCATCTCCCTCATGGTGGGTTTCATCAGACAGCAGCAAGCGAGGGTTTTGTCTAACGAAGAGCAGCAGACTGGGGGGCAGGTAGACGGGCACGTGGGGAGGCGAAACGGAGAGGAGGAGCAGGTAGGCAGACAAAGGCAGACAGACAGTCTGATGGGAGGGACTCTAGGGAGAGATTAAAGCAGAAACTAAAAGAGGGAGGGACTGCTCGGCACTTTGACAGGATACCGTGCCTTTAGAAGCAGATCTAGGAGAATTCCCTGTTGTTGTCTGGCAAGAGAAGGAAAAACGCATGGAAGCAGCTCCTGCATTGTTTCTGTCTTGGGAAGATGGTGTGTTTATCACTTATCACTTGTTACTAACTCAAACAGAAGACCCCCCCCCCCCCCAGGTTCAAACCTTTTTTTAGCCAGGTGCATGAGCTGTGATGGTTCTTCCCCCCCCACCCCACACACACACACCTGTCAAAACACAAATGCAACAGGGTCTGATGGTTTCATGGACCACATGAAGCAACCTGAGATGGTGGATGCTGATTAAGAAGCAGACTGGCCTCTCTCCCCACCGCTGGCCTGATTTGCTTTGCAGCAGAGGCACCGCTCTGGTCAGAGGACAACCATGTAATCAATGGAATGAAGAAAGCTGCTCTGGCTGTGACGCTTAAGAGGGGTACGGAGGTTTGGAGGCATGCAGCCTGCTCTGGGAACCTCATGTGTATCCAGAAGACCAGGCAGTCTGAGCGTTGCGCCTCCTCCTCCTCTCACCTGTTCTTCCTGTCTCACTGTGACTTTACCTCCGTCTCAGCTTGCTTTCCCTCCCACTGCCTCCGCCTCTTTGATACCCCTCCCCATTTTCTCTTCCTCTGTGCACTTTCTGTGTCCCTCTCCATCCTCCATCCCCGTTTCCCTCCCTCCTACCTTTCCCCAGTGTCAGCTGCTGTCGCCATGGTAAAGCAAGTGGCCAATCAGCACTCACTTCAATGCTCCCCTTCCCTTTCCCCTCATCTCTTCCTCCTCCTCCCTCCATCCCATCTGCCTCCCTACCCTACAACCTGCATCAGCTCACTTCCTGGAGACGAAGTGTGATGCATTATGGGAGAGAGATGCCAGTCTAACGGGGTTAGCAGCACACTGCGGCTTATCATCAGAGACGCTGTTAATCCGATGTGTGTGCGCGTGTGTGTGTGAGCTGATGAACTTGTGCATGCACAGGCCCTCACACACAGCACAACTTCACATGCCTCTGTTCTCCAGACAGGAGGAGGAGGAGGCTGATGAGACATGTTTATGTTTGTCAGGAGCTGCCAGGAGAATACCATTTGCATCATATAAGCATATTTTTCCCTCCTCTGTCTGCTGCTTCTCCTGTTTTAGTTATGCTGGTCGACTCCAAGAGGATGAACATCTTCCTTCCTGCAAATTAACATGAACCATACCATCTTCAAATGCTAACGGGGACTTTATTGTCCAGGTTTATTTCTGTCTCCGTTTACAGCTGTGTGCATCTTCCTCACAGGTGCTGATATGTGTTCACGATGAGCGGACTGGGGGAGAACTCCATGGAACCTCTGAGCTCAGAAAACCGGAAACGGAAGCTCTCCACGTGCGACACGCCCAGTCTAGGGTGAGTGTGAGAGCTCACGGCATTGGGGGGGGGCTAGTGGGTCAGTGGTTCCTCTAGCCAGGTCCATGCAGCTGTTGGTCTGATCCCTTTGTGAAGAATTACATTGAAAGCCAAATCTGAAGCAATTAAGATTCAATACTTTTGTAATGTAGTGAGTAGTTTGGAACATAATAAAAATTCAATAAACCTCACAGTCTGCAACAGAGTGGATGGAGGCTGTAGGAGAGGCAGGAGAGACGATGCTGCTGATGGTGTTAAACAGCACCTTGGGGTTCCCTTTGCTCTGGGACACCAGGTTGGAGAAATAGGAAACCCTAGCATCTCTGACTGCAGAGTTAAAGGATGTCAGAAGATCCTTTAGGTGCAGCAGATGGACGTGGAGATGGGTTTTCTTCCACAAACGCTCAATTTTTCTGCATTGGCGCTTCAGGCTGCGAAGGCTGTCATTAAACCAGGGAGTAGGGTTCACTGCAGGAACTGATCTGGTTCTGACAGGACAGATGTTGTCCAGAATGGAGAGGCAGTGCTCATTAAACTGAGAAGTTAAGGAATCTGGGTCGTTAACAGAAGAACAGGGTGGATCAAAAGCAGCAGAAAAATTTCTAGCTGTGCTCTCATTAAGAAAACGAGAACTAACCATACGGCGAGCAGGAGGTGGGGATGCAGAAACTGACAAGTTAAAGAAAATGCAATGGTGATCTGAAATATAAACGTCCTCAGGACAAACACTGTCAGCATTTAGACTCAGGGTAAAAACAAGGTCCAGAGTGTGCCCCCTGGTGTGTGTGTGGGGCCAGAAACATGCTGGGTAAAGCTGAAGGAGTCCATGAGGCTGGAGAAATTCATGGCAAAGTGATCAGAGGGATCATCAACATGGATGTTAAAGTCACCAACAATCACCAGTCTGGACAGCTTCACAGTGGAGGATAGAAAGTCACGGGTCCTTACGCCCGACTTTAATCAGCTGCAGTTCAAAGGAAGCAAAGTGACCAGAGGTTGTAGAGCTTCATGGAAGATGGTCTCTGAAAACAACAGCTAGGCCTCCACCACGACCAGAACCCCGGGGCTGGCTAAGAAAAGAGTAACCACTCGGGCAAAGTTCAATCAGAGCAGAATAATCAGATGTTTGCTGCCAAACTTCAGTCAGAAACAGAAAATCCAGGTTTTTAGACAGAATTAGATCGCTGAGCAGGAAGGTCTTATTAACAGAGCAGGTATTTAATAGAGCCATGCTGAGTGAGGTGGAGGAATCAGAAACTACAGAAACAGCTGGAGTTAGTGGACATAAATTAGCAGGGTTAGATCCACGGTGTTTATAAAAACCACTTATGGAGGGAACAGGAGGAGAAACCACTGAGGAATGAGGATAAACCGACCTTAAAAAACTTGGATGGAGAAACCGCGCCGCAACGCGGCCTGGCGGGAATGCGGAAGTGGCGCTCAAATCACCAAACAAAGGAAAAGAAGCTAGAAGATCACGCCGATGTTTACTAGATAAACCACGCTTTAAGAGAAGTCTTGTTCTCACCTGGATTTCTGCTCGTTTACCTCTTTTCCTCCGACGTTTTCCCGGGACCGGATAAACATCGCTGCAGGCGCCCTGGTTGGCACTGGCCCGGAGCCACACAGTGCGCCACTCAGATTGTGGCCCTCAAGGATCAGTAATTAGATACCACCTCTTTGCACAAGGGTGGGTTAATCGTGGTTTGGGTTTGATGTTTTAGCCAGTGGCATGAGAACACTTCTCTGCCTCGATGAAGAAACAGTTAGGTCTCAAATTCTGACGGTGTACTCAGATTCTTATTTCAGATCTTTGTGAACGTTCTCCTGCAGGTGCGAGAGGAAGCGTCGGGAGCAGGAGAGCAAATACATAGAGGAACTGGCGGAGCTGATCTCAGCCAACCTCAGTGACATCGACAGCTTCAACGTCAAACCGGACAAATGCGCCATCCTCAAAGAGACGGTGCGCCAGATCCGTCAGATCAAGGAGCAGGGTGAGTGAATACAGTTGTCCCAAATCATACAGAGTCACAGAGGAAGGGAGTCGAACAGCTCTGCCCCTAACCCACAAGTCACGCCACCTTTTACGGTAACAGCGGTGAAAGAAATCCTGAATCACACAAACTAACAGGCTCCTCCGAGCCCAGGTGCAAGGACAGATCCCTCATTCATCTCCCACAAATTTCACAGCCGTACCTGTTTTGGATGGGGTCGTGGGTGGGGCTTTGCTACTCTGTGATGTGTGTGTGTTTATGATCACGCACGGCAGTGTACGGTCCTCGCCAGCTTCTTTTTAATTGGACGTTTGCAGGCAGCCACATGCCCCTGCGTTCTGCTGAGCTGCCAAACTACTAGTTGAGTTACAGCTGCTGCTGCGTTGGTGGCTGAGGCGTTTGTCCTGTAGACACACCAGCACGGTGGCTGGATTTCAGACGTTTGTCAGAGGTGAACTTTCCGCAGATCCGGGAGGGAGCCATTCACTATCTTCACCCTCAACAGGAAGGGGAAGAGGCTACAGCCTGCGCTGACTGGCTGCTGACAGGTTGCCATAGTTACAGGAAGTGAAGACAGAAATGACAGACTCGTCTGCTGTTCTCTACCTGTTCCTCTTTTTGCTTTCAGCTGCTCTCAACACCAGTCTTTGTTGTTCTCTTTCGTTCATCGGTCTCCTGCTCTTCGCTAATCTGATTCTCATCTGTGTCGCTGCTCGTGGACGGATACTGGTAGCACCTTAACATCTTTAAACGAAGGGATGTTTATGTTTCGGTCAGGCCAACTTCTCAGTGCAGTAACGTCCTGTTTTTTTCTTTGTGTGGGTACGAGTGCCACTTGGGAGCTAATCAGACGGAATAATTCCTGCCTGCCTCTCTTGCAGACCAAACCCTTCATTTATACATCAACCCAGACACTATTAGTGTTTTCCTCACTATCGTCTCCATCCGTAACCAACAGTCCCAGCCCTGGACCTTTCTTTCTTCTTCTCTCTCTCCCTTCTTTCCTCCTGGTTGTCTTTTTCTCCCAGAGTCCCAGCCCCTCCATTAATTCAGGTGCTTCAGCTCCTGCCCTTGATCCATTATAGCTTCCAGAGCTTCCCTGACTCTCCCTCTCCCTCAGCCCCAGCCTACCAGACAATCCCTCACAGTCTGACACTGAATATAAAGCATAGGGACAGCAGCTACCTGCTCCACACACACCCAGCCTTCCACTCCTCCTGACGGGCTTCCTCTGTCTCCCGCCTCACCTGTAGTTTTAAACCGTTCTTTCCATCGAAGACAAGAAAGGGGGTAAGTATTGAGAAACACTGCCCTCTGCTGGTCTAGATAGAGTAGTGAGTTTTTTTTTTTTTTCAGGTATTGTGGCGCGCTCATCTCGTGTCTTTGTTGTGTGATCTCCTTCTAATGCAGCTCCTTTTATTTGCAGGAAAAGCTTCATCCAACGACGATGACGTTCAGAAGTCAGACGTGTCCTCCACTGGTCAGGGGGTCATCGACAAGGACCATCTGGGACCACTTCTTCTACAGGTGAGTCCAGCTTTCCCTTCGCGTTCATCAGATGAATGTATTTTATTTATTTATTTTTACTAATTTGATGACGACTTCCTGTCGCTGCACTGCCAGGCTCTGGACGGTTTCCTGTTCGTGGTGAATCGGGAGGGCAGCATCGTGTTTGTGTCGGACAACGTGACTCAATACCTGCAGTACAAACAGGAGGAGCTGATCAATACCAGCGTGTACAACATCCTTCATGAGGATGACAGGGAGGACTTCCACAAGAACCTGCCTAAGACCAGCAGTGAGTAAACACACACACACGCACACACACACACACACACAAGTTGAATTACACCATCAACATAAACTCACTCTCCTACTTATTCACAGTCCTCCACTCTATCTTTCCTCCTAATGAGGGGCTCCTGGGAGCCCTGCTCATGTGCGTTGGGGCACACACACCTGACAAAACACATGTACACAGGAGCCCCCGCCCACTTGGTGCTAAGCAGGCAGAGCATAGCACAGCTGTCAGTCACACTCACTGGTCCAGACGTTGTAAAACAGGCCTGAGCTCTACTCAGATCCCACAGCAGCCATCTGGAAACTACACGCTGCTGAATAACGCACCTCCACACCAGCCGGGGTTTTCAATGCCATTTGTTCGGAAGTACTTTAGTATATGTGTTTACTCATTATTGTGTGTTAGCCTGTGTATGACAGTGTGAGTGTGTGAATGAATGATGGATTTGTGTTTGAGTAACTCTACTGTGGTGCTCCGACGACGACTCACCCACACGTTACTCAGCTCCCTTTGTTTTTATGTAACATTCATCTTTATCCACTTTTCTCCTCGGCGTTCCCCGGTGCCCCTCTTCACTCGCTTCTTCCTCAGTCTCATTCATACTTAATGTCGCTGCCTGTGAAGATGAATATTGTAGTTGTCTGGTCCTCAAGCTGCTTCCTCCTGCGCTCTCCCGCCCCCGGCCGTGTCTCGCTCGGCTGCTCTTCCCCTTCATTATGTTTTCGGGCCTGTGAATGAAATGTGCTCTCGCTGCACATTCCTGTGGGATGATCGCTGACCATACCAGTTACTGTTAAACACACACTCACACACACACACTCACACACTCACAGAGGAATACTAACAAAAGCAAATAGAAAGTGATCTATCAGGTGATGAGAGCCACACAATCTCCCGTTTCCTCTCATCCCGTTGAAATGTTTCCCGGCCCTTCCTGGTGTCCTCCCAGTTCACCTGAAGACCAGAACTGGATTGGCTCTAGGCCTGGATCTGGCTTTACGAAGGCCTTGTAGAACTCTTAGTTGTTTCTCTGAAGTTTTCTCCCCTTTCTATGTGAAGGTGACCCCGTCTGTCTGTGTGTGTGTGTGTGTGTGTGTGTGTGTGTGTGTGTGTGTGTGTGTGTGTGTGTGTGTGTGTGTGTGTGTGTGTGTGTGTGTGTGTGTGTTTGTGTGTGTGTGTGTGTGTGTGTGTGATGAGTAGTCAGGGTCTAAATGAGGATAGATGGCTAAGTGTCCGCGCTTCTGCCCACTGCAGAGCGGACCAAGAGGGAGAAATATTGGAAATCGACACCTAGGCTACATTAATCCCATGGTCCATTTAGCCGGGATCCAGATGGCGGGAGAGGCTTTGGCTCTCCGTTCTGGTGGGAGACGACGCGAGCTGCGATGCTTTCTGTTTGTTTGTTTTGTTTGTAGTTTCTGTGTTTGTGAGATCAGGGCAGGATTGGTGAGATTTATTTACAGCCGGTTCTTCGTTCCAGAAGCTTCCATTTTACTCCCAAGGGTGACCTTTTCTCTTTGTCTGCCTCTTTGTTTTGTCTTTTTAGTAAATGGAGTGCCGTGGGGAAACGAGGCAATCCGACAGAAGAGTCACACCTTCACTTGCCGGATGCTGGTCAAGTTTGGCCACGCCCATGGGCCCATGGAGGAGGGGCCAGGAGGACCGCGTTATGAGACCATGCAGTGTTTTGCTCTCACTCAACCCAAAGCCATGATTGAGGAAGGAGAAGGTAGGCGGAGCCAGAAATATTAACATAAGGGGCTACCTGCACTCAGGCAACGTACACACATAGCCCGGCTTTTATAACGCTGACTATCCTCTCCTACCCATCTAGAGGTGGTGGACAAGAACCATCCTTAACATCGTCCTTCACCTGTGATCTTCTACATAGAGAAGTAATTCAGTTGGTAAAAACAAGTGCGTGTAAACTAGGGGTGCTCCGATTGATCGGCCACAGATAATTATCGGCCGGTTTTCCTGCAAAAGTGTGTGATCTGTGATCGCCGATCACTGCCTTTCATTTCCGATCTGGCACTGGCGCTTACTCTTCCCGGCCGGTAGTTCACCCTTCCGCTTCTCCCCGCTTAGTGCGCATGCGCGTGGCGGCAAACCCGCAAAGACAAAGATGTCTGCCGTGTGGAACTTCTTTACGGTGTGCGAGAGTGATATTAAGTTTGCGTCTTGCAACACTTGCAACGAAAACATACCCCGCGGAGGAAGCACTTCAAAAAAATTCAACACAACGAATTTGATCCGACATTTAAAGACTAAACTCTTGGCGGAGCATGGTGAGTTTTTGAGGCTCACCGCAGACAATGAAAAGAAGCCTGCTAATGCAGCCACAGTCAGACGGCAGCTAACGCAGCCGACGCTTGGAAACACTCGCCCATATGAGCGTGACAGTCAAAAGGCTAAGCAAATTACCCGTAAAATCATCGAGTTTATTGGACTAGACGACCAGCCTTTTTCAGTTGTGGAAGACGCCGGATTCCGCCGACTACTAACCCACTTGGAACCTCGCTACATGCTACCGGGACGTAAATATTTCGCCGACGTAGCCCTTCCAGAGCTCCACCAGACAGTGTATTCTTTCATCGAGGGACTCCTTAAAGAAAGCGTCTCATCCTCTGTGAGTTTCACAAGTGACATTTGGAGCTCGGATGTCAGTCCTGTGTCAGTGCTGAGCTTAACAGCTCGCTGGATGTATCTGAACGTATCCTTGGTTACTTAATTTGATTTAGGCGGTGATGTGAGATATTGACTTTTTTTGCACTATTTGTAGCCTAAAGAGAGCCTTAATGTTTTCAATTTCTTATAAATTGTTACTGATATTACATAATTTGAAGTGAAGTAAAACCATGTTTTTTCTGAATTAATATGTAACACATGCATTAGAACTCACCATAGCTAATGAACAATTTACAGCCAATCTATGTAATTGGTATCGGTAATCGGCTGATCGGCCTCTTGGCTGATCGGTATCGGTGATCGGCAGATTAAAACCTGATCGGAGCATCCCTAGTGTAAACACAGGTCTCACGTGTGACGTCGACAGTGACGTAGCAACATGTAAAACCCTGATCATTTACGTCCACAAGCAACTACCGACAACGGAGAGTTTGTAAATCTCTACATTGGTCTGAGTTTTTGAAAGAATCCTCTTTGTTGCCGTTTATCGTAGCTTTTGCGTGGATGACAGGCCAAACCGTAGAAAAAACTATAGGTTTTGTGGGAAACGGGGCTACGTGTGAACAGGGTCCCGGTATGTGCCGGATGGTTTGCTGTAATTAAAGTTTGGTTTTGAAGATAATTAAATACAACTTTTACAGCGAATTTTGGGAGAAACTGGAAAATTGTGAACAAATAAATAAAACGGCTAAAGGTGAACCCTTTGCTTATTTAAATAGTTTTGGATTCTTTTATTTATTTTTTAAATGACTTTAAATGGAGATCTGCCTGCTAACTTTCTAAAACAGCATGCTATCAAAGATTCCCATTCATTCCAAACCAAGTAAACTCTTTTCTAACCTTTAACTGCTTTTTTCTGAGTTAAAGTGAACTCTTGCTGCTCTTTCCCCCCGCAGACCTTCAGTCATGTATGATCTGCGTGGCCCGTCGGGTCACAGCCATGGAGAGAACGGAGAGTTTCAACACTCGACATGAGCTCTCCGGTGAGGAGCTGCTGAATCACTAATATCTAAAAATCATGCAGATTGATGATTCTGTCTCTGTGAGTGGGTTGGGCTCATCCCCCCCTCCTCTTTTGTCCGCCGCCCGTCCTCCCCGGCAGGTAAACTGATTCAGATCGACCAGTCGTCTCTGCGAGCATCGATGCGTCCGGGCTGGGAGGATTTGTTGAGGCGTTGCATCCAGATGTTCCTGCAGCACAGTGACGGTCAGCCCTGGTCGCACAAACGCCACTATCATGAAGGTGGGTCCCCCGGCCTGGATGAATGATCATCCTTTCATCTCGTTTACAGTCTCAGGAGGAGGAAGCTCTAGTTAGAGCCGAGAACGGTCCATTTTCTGTTTTTACTTTACAAATACGTAGAAACTGGAATGAGACCTTCTGTGTGAACATTTAAAACATCTGCATGCATAAGTGAATAAACGTTAGCCTTATAGAAACATTTGAAAGCTTTTCTTCATCATCTCGAGCTCCTGAGGAAGTTTTCAGCTTTGTTTTTCCAAAAGACATAACTCGATGCTGTTCTTGTGCAGCTTTTCTCCAGGGCCATGCCGAGACTCCCTTGTATCGCTTCTCCCTGTCCGACGGCACTCCGGTCACCGCCCAGACCAAGAGTAAACTGTATCGACACCCCATGAGCAACGAGCCGCAAGGCTTCATCTCCACTCACCTGCTGCAGAGGTCAGGATGTACAGCATTCAGAACCGGACGCATCACTTCCTGTGTTGATTTTAAATAAAATAAATAAAAAAAACATGCACATCGAGTTTTCAAATTTTCTTTTTTTCCACACAGGGAACCCAACGGTTACCGCTCAGCAACGAGTGGGAACATGATGCGACAGCAGGGGATGGGCGGAGCTAACTTGAACACTCCAATGAATGTAAATGCAGGTGGAGGGATGGGGATGGGAGGCATGGGCAGTATGAACAGAGGCTTCGGCATGACGGAGCAAGGCCACATGGGCCACATGGGACCAATGGGTGGTGGCTCCATGTACGGAGGGAATGGTGGAGGAGGAAGCGGTGGAGGCATGGGCGGTCGTATGATGCAGATGAATCAGACGTGCCAGATGGGTCCCATGAATCACCAGGGCCAAAGCATGCAGCAGCACCCTCAGCAGCCCCTGTTTCAGAGCAGCGGCGGCTTTGGGCTCAGTGGCATGAACAGCCCATCAGGAAGCCCTAGAATGGGCGGCCCCCAGCAGGGACTACTGATGTCCCCCCGGAACCGGGGAAGCCCGAAGATGGGTGCCAACCAGTTCTCCCCTGGAGGTAAGTCCATTAGTGAAACCACGACGTTAGAAACCACACTTGTTTATGAATTTATCGTTTTTATTGTGTCTTTGATCCAGGAATCCACTCTCCCATGAGCGGCATGAGTAGTGGGGGAGGAGGTGGGGGGAGCAACTGTACCTTCTCCAGCAGCTCTCTTAATGCTCTACAAGCCATCAGTGAAGGAGTAGGAAGCTCACTCCCTTCCACTCTAACATCCCCCTCGCCAGTCCACAAACCTGACAGTTCCCCCAGCATCCACTCCTCAACTCAATCCTCCCAGCAGCTCAAACCAGGCCAAGATGGCTCCAAAAGTCCGGCGGGCGGTTTAGGACCTGGGCCTAGCGACCATCACCTCACTGTGCACCATCACCACCATCATCAGCATCCTTCAGCTGAGAGTTCTGGAGATCGAGCAGACAGCCAGGCAGCGACGGCGACTAAAGAGACCGGAGAGGGAAGCAGCGAGACGGGGGCGTCGAGTTCAGACCCCCCGCGGAGGCTTCCAGACAGCAAGGGACATAAGAAGTTGCTGCAGTTATTGACATCTCCTACTGAGGAGCTGGGAATAGGTGGAAGCGGGCCACCTGCACCACCCCCACCAAGCAGCAGCAGCACTCCTGTTGGCCCAGACAGTAAGGACACTAGCGGGGGCATGACCAGCCACTCATCCACAGGAGTGTCCTCTTCATCAGCCAGCGCGGGGCTAGCGGTCGGTCAAGGTGGTGCATCCACTCCAGCTCATTATACAGGTTCTCTGCAGGAGAAGCACAAGATCCTCCACAAACTTCTTCAGAATGGAAACACTCCAGATGAAGTGGCTAAGATCACAGCCGAGGCAACAGGAAAGGTGTCGCTGGAGGGCCAGGAGGGAGGCGAGGGCGGAGCAGGGGGTTCAGGGCCTGGGTCAGGCCCTGGGTTAGTAGCAGACCCCAAGCAGGAGCAGCATAGCCCCAAGAAGGAAAAGACCCATGCTCTCCTCCATTACCTCCTAAACAAGGACGATTCCAAAGAGCCTGTGGATGTCAAACCCAAACTGGAAGACTTGGAGGGAAATAGGCCGTCGGGGGCTACAGGTGGCTCTGTGCCCGAACACCCTGAGAGCAAGATCAAGTCAGAACCACCTGATGATGTGAGGCTGGGTCTTAAGTATCGCTGGGGTACAGCAACGTGTCGCGAACGTGTAGACGTTTACTAATCTGTTGTTTTTACTGTCTAGTTGCACAACCTGGAGTCGATCCTGGGAGATCTCAGGGGGTCAAGCTCGGACTTTTACCCCGATCAAGCTGGGGTTGGGGGGCCGAGTGAAACGGGAAACAAACCATCGGGTTGCCTAGACGACGGCCTGCAGGGTGAGTGGTTCAGTGGCACAAGGTGGGTGTGTTTAAACTGATCCACAGACAAAACAGTGGATGAAAACGGCAGATTTTACTGCATTTTTACTGTTGATTCATCTAAAATGTTTCAAATTGATGTTTAAAGTGCATCAGACTCGTTTTTGTTCAGTGACGTTTTATAAGCTCGCAAAAATGTCTCAGTATTTATAGAACCAACAGGTGATTATATTCATTTAATGTTTGACGTAAGTTAAGTAAGATATTTTTTTATGCTTGTTCTGTTCAGGCAGTCCAGTGATGGGTCCAGGGCCTCGAGGGCCTTTCCAAAGGGCCATGTCCATGGAAGGGAAGCCTCCCGGTGGGCCTGGGGGAGCAGGTAGACGACCCACGCTTATCAAACAGGAGAACATGATGGGCAGTCCGGACCACTGCCCAGGAAACATGGGTACGTGTTTAAGTCACGGCCAGGATGACCTGATCAAACGTGGCTCGTCGGTCTTCTGTCACTCTGGGCTGAATGTGCTTGTTTCCTACCAGGAACAATGAATAGAGGCATGATTCCCCAGAGGTCCCCAATGGGGGGTTCAGGAGACTGGGGCAAGCCCCGTTCTGGTGCCAGCCCTGTGGGTTCAGCAGGACATCCATCCATGATGCGGCCGGGCATGGAGTACAACAACGGGAAGAGCATGGTGTCAGGACCCATGGTGGGCCGCTCCAACAGCGTTCCAGGAGCCCGCTCCATGCTGCAGCAGCAGCTCATGGATATGGGTACGCTACTTAGTGCTATGAGAGGACCTACGACATAGAGCGGCCCTAATTATAATAATTTAATCATCTTTATTTTATCTTTTATGTTTACACGCTTTTTCTAATGGTTCTTTTAGCAAATACAAACCGCTTATTAATGGTAATTATTCTTGTTAATGACAATGTAGTCACATCCTGTTGGTAAATTTTAGGTGGTCCTACTGACATGGGGATGGGCGTGAGCCCCTACAGCCAGCAGGGCCAGCCCAGCCAGTCCTCCTCCTGGCTGGACAACATGGTGAGCATGGAGGGCAACAGGTCAGTTCAACATCTGTTTGCAGTTTTCATTCGTTATCCGACGTGATCCAGACCGATGGAGTTTTGTGTGTCGTAGGCGGCAGTTTGGCAACCCCTTGGATGACCTTCTGGTGGCCCCCACCACCAGTGAGGGTCAGAGCGATGAGCGGGCGCTCCTAGACCAGCTGGATTCACTGCTGAATAACGCAGATGGAATCGCTTTGGAGGAGATAGACCGAGCTCTGGGCATCCCGGATCTCGTCAGCCAGGTAAGAAAACCAGACTTAAGCGCTGGGTGAACTTTAGGAGCTATCTAAAGGGAGAGGGGGTTCGTTAGCAGATTGTGACTCTCTAAGTGAACATTACATTTATCTTTTCATTGAATATATCATTCACCATGTTTAGACCATCCAGGACCACCCAGTGAATTCAACTGAGAAGTTTGAGAAACTTCTCTTTGTCCTCCTGTTCTTTCTGCTGCAGACCCAGGGAGGAGAGCAGCAGCTGGAGCATTATTCAGGACAGGACCCATCCATGATGCTGGACCAGAAGCCTCTATATGGCCAGGGCTACCCCGGACCCCCCACCATGCCGATGCAGACAGGCTACGGAGGGAACCCCATGCAGGGTCAGGGCCAACAGGGAGGGTTTGGCCCTATGCTCTCACCACTGGGTCAAGGTGGCAGCTTCCCTGGTATGGGTGGGATGGGGGGCATGGGTCATCCTCGTGCCAACATGATGAGACCACGAATGATGAGCGCCAACAAGCCCATGAGGCTGCAGCTGCAGCAGAGGCTGCAGGGTCAACAGGTACGAGTTTGAAATCAAAGCGACCAATAAGATGGAAGTGATGATGATCTGAATATTAGGAACTGCAGTAAGCTGTTGTAGAGTGTTAAAGCAGTTTCAGGCTTTCTGGTTTAACATATTTGTTTGTCATCTACATTTTTTTTTCATATTTAGAACTTTTTTCCTAAAAAAAATTAACTGAGAAAAATTCTAACTGCAAAAGTCGAATTTTACCAATTTGACGTCACAGAAATCAAAATGACTAAATTCTCCGTTCAGAATCGTTCTGGTTTGTGTAGCTATCACCGGGGAACTTCCTCTGTTGTCTTGAACAAAATGTTTCATTCTCTCCCAAGTTCATGAATCAGACTCGTCAGGGCATGGCTATGAAGATGGAGAATCCGGGTGGAAACATGAACATGAGGACCAACATGCAGTCTGGCATGGGAGGGCAGGTAAGTGACCCATAATCAGATACAACCGATGTCACAATGTTTACCTAAGTCTGGGCTGTTTTATGTCCTTAATGATCATTTACACCAAACTTATGTTACATGATCATGTCTGTCTGTGAAGCAGGGTTTCCTAAGCGCTCAGATGATGGCCCCTCGCAGGGATATGGTCACCATGCAGATGAGAAGGCAGCGTATGATGATGCTGATGCAGCAGCAGCAGGCGGCGGCAGCAGCTGCAGGAGGATTCAGCCCCCCTCCAAATGTCACAGCTCCTGGTGGCATGGACACCCCAATGGGGGGGCCAAACATGGGCCAGCCAGGACCCCAACAGTTTGGCTACGGCAGTAACTACGGTGAGTTCACTGATGCAGACAGGATTACTGCTGCTCTCTAGTGGTGAGGCCAGGCAGGACTGGTTTTTAGTTGTATATCAGTCATGGAAAAGGGCAAAAATGGGTTTAAAAGTTTAAGCTTTTACTTTTTTTGTGATTTTTCATTTATTTATTTATTTATTTATTTTCTGTGGAGAACAGAGATCTGAAGCATCTAGATTTGTTTCCACAGGGATGAGCCAGCAGGGAGACCACTCTTTTGGACCATCAGGTGGCAGTCCCCCTAATGCCATGATGCCCAGCCGCCTTGGGCCTCAGAATCCCATGATGCAGCAGCACCCTCAAAGCGGACCCATGTATCAGGGAGCTGATATGAAAGGCTGGTCTCAGGGAGGCATGGGACGTAACAGGTATGGCACTGTTCTGGTCCGTTCAGGTAGAGAGAGAAGGAGAGAAAACTAAAACATGCAATTCTTCTGACATGTTCTCAAGTTTAACCCTTTACCGTTCTTCTTTGACAGTTCTTACCCCCAGCAGCAGTTTGGGCCTCAGGCACCCATGGGGCAGCAGCAGTTTGGCCAGCAGGGGAATCCGGGGCAGTATGGTGGCATGATGATTAATGGAGGCATGCCGGCTGGTGGAGGGGGAGGTCACATGGGCCAGATGAGTGGGCAGATGGGCATGAACCCAATGGTGATGGGACGCATGCCCATGGGGCCCGATCAGGTATGTGCAGAGAGTACGAGAGTCGGATTTCTCCAGGAAAAGTTCAAAAATGCCCTATATCAGCATTTAGGAAAGGGGTAGTCAAGTCCCTTCCCTGAGGACCACTATCAAGCACGTTTTAGTTGTTAACCTGCTTCGACACACCTGATTTTAGCCAGCAGGTGATTAACAGGCTTTTGCATAGCCTGAATAAAGCCTGGTTTATGCTTCTCCGTCAGCTCCGCAAGGGACAGACACGCACGGGTTGATGGAAGCGTTTTGCTCTTTTACTTCTCCGTCTCCTGGAGAGTGTTGCAAAGCAACTGCCCTGCAGGACCACAGAGGGCGTAGCACTGTTCTGTGGTATCCTGTCATGTATCGGTCCAAGATCGTGTGTTTATATTGTGTTTTTTGTGTATATAAGAGACTTTTAACACGGACATATTTGTCTCTCATTCTCCCACCGCTTCATGCGCTCCCCACCTCTAAACCCACGTTTCCTGTCATTTCCGTCCACAAATAAAACGCTTGCTGCGCATCTTTTCACTCCTCCAGTCACGGGAGAATTAAACGTTCATATTTTTAGAGTTTTTTCACGAAACTCGGCTCTCTTTGCAATGGCGGCGCTGTAAACAACAGCGGCGTCCTGACCAATCACAAACTTGCGTAATCCATCTCGTTCGACGGATGTTTAAAAAAGTGGGCTCGACTTCATAAGTACTTGCGTGCCTGCCGGAGCCCTACGCAAGGACGGATAATGGCGTTGCGTGTCTCCGCACTGACGCAGACGGAGAAGCATAAATCAGGCTTAAGAGTTGAACAGGTGAATCAAGTGTGTTTGAGCAGGGAAACAACTAAACAAGCTGGGAAGGGGGGTGACTACCCCTGATTTAGGAGCACCACAGGGCTCTTTTGATGGCCCCTTTCTGATATCCTAGTTATTAGCAAAGGCTAAAATAATCACTTGATATTTAAGTATTCATCACTTCCCCCGTCTTTGAATCAATGATCATAACACACTGCAGATACTTTTTAGGTACTTATTTTTGTGAAATGAATGGGTTAAAAACTGTGTTAGCTTTGAAATGCAAGCCTTCTGCGCTCACACCAACCTTGTAGACATGCTATTCTTCATGCTGTTGTTTTTATTAGCACTCACATTTCAGCTGCTCATGCTCTCTCCTTACCCTCTTCCTGTTCTTATAGAAATACTGCTGAACGACGCGACTGGAGCTTTGGTCTCACTGTGATCCCCTCCCAGAGATGGCCGACGGCTGCAGATCTGGAGAGTGAGGATTAAAGTGTCCTAGGTGGACAGTTGTGTCACTCTGACAGCCTGAGGAACAAAACAACAGACTCTCATGAAGATATGCATCACTGATAAAAACCCAATAAACTCTTACTGTTTTGCACACACACACACACACACACACACACACACACACACACACGCAAGTTCATTTTTCTATCCATATTAGGACTTTGTATTGACTTCCATTCATTTTAGTAACTGCATTTATGCCTAACCTTAATCCTTACCCTAACCAGTGTATTCATAAACAAAAACTCATTTCATGTCTTACCTCTAAACCTCACCCCTAAGCCTAAAATAGGGGTCCACCATATTAGGACCAGGTTTTGGTCTTCAGAAGATTAGTGAATATGTCAGTTTTGGTCCTAAGTAGAATAGTTAAACAAGTACACACACACACACCCACAGAGGAAGACTAACAAAAGCAAATCGAGTGATCTATCAGGTGATGGGTGGCACAACAAAGGTTTTGTTAATTCGCCCACTTCCTCTCATCCCGTTGAAATGTTTCCCAGACCCTCCCCGGTGTCCTCCCTTCACCTGAAGACCTCTCATGGACCGTACATTAGCATTTCTCTCTTTTGGAGTGTGTCTCTGTATACACACGCCCATTTGTTGGACCAAACGGTGAAGTTGGTTCACACAGAAACATGTTTAAACAACTTCTTCCTTATCGAATGTACCATGCAGCTGGATTCAGATATAAACATGTTGATCCTGAACTCTGTGGGATGAAACAGCCTCCATCTTTGCTGCTGCTGGAGGATCTCTGTAGACAGCTCTGGTGGAGGAGCCCTCAGATGGTGGCGTTCACATGAATGTCATTAAGTAACAGCACATGGTTTCGTCCTCCAGGATGCCGTTTATTGTGACTGAAGTACTTGTTGGCTGATTGCACTTTAAGAGAAAGCCAACATCAAAAGGATCGTGGCAATATAGAGGCCTTTACATGAGAATTAATACATAGCAGCAGACATTTCCTGATTCTTCTTCCTTGTTTGTTTTGTTTTGTGTGTTTTCCTTTCAAAGAAAAAAAGATTTGTAAACGAGTAACTGTGGCAGTTTTGGTTCTACAGCGAGAAACGACAGGAAGCACAGATTTTATCCATTTATAACAGCAAGAAAAAGAGTTTTTGTATTTCTCCTAAATTATTCTCCTAGTCAGTAGTTCTACGGATTTATGAAGTGATGGGTTGATATCTTGAAAAGTCATTTTTAAATCAAAGTTAAAATATTTTTGTTATTTTTAATGAATTGTAGGAGTAAGAAAACAATTAACGTCACGATTAAAAATATGAAAAATAGACAAATTATATTCACATTCTGATCGATTTGTGCATACAGACGATGAACGTGCAGAAAAAAACTCAATTGCCAAGCATCCAATGAAATTTGTTCACATTAAGAGATAAGAAGCGCTTGTATTTTTTTAAATTGGCCTGACAAACCTGAGCAATAATCCTTCCTCCTGGTTTTCTCTGATAACAAAGCTGAAGCATTGTTCACTCACAGCGACGGTACTGCAGTATTAGACCTGATGTCTTGTTTGAAGCCTTTTTCCTCCTTTCTGTGAATATGAATTGTAAATATGCTTCAAATGTACTATATATGAATATAAAATATATATATATATATATGCTTTTGTAGGTCACTCAGTTTTTGCACAGATTGTAAGGCTTGATATTTAAAAGTGTAATTTTTCTTATTCTGTCATAGGTCAGCTTGTTTTTCAAGATTTAAAGCTTCAGTTGGAAAAAAAGACCTCTTTTTGTAAGCGATGTATATAGATATTTTTTTTCATACCGCCACTTTTCCATCTGTCCGAGAGCACCTTTTTATTTCTAATCTTTGATTCAAGATCCTCCTTTTATTTGCTTAGGAAGTAGTTTTAAATATACAGGTGCTAGTGGGTTATCCTTTTTATACATACGTTTTCTTTTTACAAAAACAAAAGAACAAAAACAAGTCTATACAAATAGAGTTGGCACATGATTGTGTTATTTTAGGATTTCCGACGTCTTGCCTTTTTGTGGGGTCAGTATTTTCAGAACTTGACCTCCGTTTTCCCCCCGAGGTTTTAAGTGTTTAAAGTGTTGGTCATTTATTCGTTCAGCCAGTTACGAGTCTCTAAGAACCCGTCTTGTGGCTTTAGCCGTGTTGATCTTCGAAGGATGGCACACGAAAAGTGTCTTGATCCTTTTTTCTTTATTATGTTGGGGTTTCTCTTTATTCCTTGTTGAATTTCCTGTTGCAGTTTTGACCTTGGAACATATGCTCAATCCAAAGATTTTTGTTTGTTGTTCAGCAGTGCTTAGAAACAGTTCAGTATGTTGTACAAATACTTGTCTGCTTTTACTGTTGCACATTAATGCATATTAAACACACGGAGCAAAGGTGAATTCCATATAATATACCCTCATATGTATGAAGTGGATTATAGGGGGTGTCTGGTTCTGCTGAGGTGGTTTAAATCTTTGTTTTTTGTGTTTTGTTTTTTTTCTTCTCATGGATCTTGAGGCCAGTTAATTTTGTGGTGCTGTTCTTTAACACGGGAATGTTCCTTTAAGCTCAAATGGAGGTTTCATTCATGAGAAACTTCATTTATGTCTCACAGCGACAGCCGGGAGTTGTTTTTCAAGCACCCTGCTTTATAGTGTCGGTTAATGAATCAACAGAAATCAAAAACAAAGTGATGAGGATGGGGAGAAAGTCCTCCTGGCTGAAGCTCCACAGCTCATCTGGGAAACAGGATCACAGGATGTAAAAGTTAACGTCACTTTTTTTCTTACCTTGTTTCTTGATGTTAATATTAATGTAAATACAAATTTATATTTAAACATTACAACGTCTCTGCTGTGTTTTGTGGAAACCTTTTCAGAATGACACATATTATTTGCTGCCTCGGTTTTTAAAAAGGCAGTTTGCATGAACTCATGTTAGCAAGAGTAATCTGATAAATTCAGTGCGAGTATGGAGACCGGGCCAGTGTCATCAGTCTAGCTTGTTTCTGATTAGAGGAAAATGACACGTTGCAACCAGACCCTTTGAGATACCAAAGCCTTTAAGATAGGCTCAGTCTCAATACTGCAGACTTCAGCAAAGTGCACTTGGAGAAAGTGGCTGTAAGGCTTTGAGTGTGTAGCACACAAGTGTGCAAATAAGTGCAGAATTGAGACGGGAAGCATTGCGTCATCGATTGCAATGCATGCCGGGATGCTGGTTGCTGTGATACTTTTTTCAAAACCCTTTATTAACAACTTTTAAACCGACAGCCAAACAGTTATTTGAATATAAATTTAACTTCATTGCTGCTTTGTCTAAAAGTTTTAGAGCATCAACTAATCGTCCTCAAAGGAACTAATTTCATTAGAAAATACCTATTTTTAGAAAAGGAACTTGAGCCTTTTCTCCTGCAGCAATGACTTGTGGGTAATACCCTTGCTCGAGGTCCGCATCGCTGCAGACTTGGGTGAAGTGAAGATTATGGGGGCGTGGTCAACTTCCGCACTCGCACCCCTGGCCGGGAACGCGCAAATGAAGGGCGCAAGGATGCAAGTGCGAGTATTGGGATTGGGCCATAGATCTCTGTCTAAAGCTTTGGTTGCAACCAACCCCTGCTGCTACTGTCCCCGGTCTCCTCCACGTCATCTGGCTTGGACCCTTAAAGCTTCATGTGAATCAAGACATGCAGTAGCTGATTCAGCTCCATAAATAACATCCAGCAGACCTTTATGGGCCATTCCCATCTGTACCGGGTCGGCCGGCTGGGTATAGCGTAGGTTGTTTACATATCTGGGTGGCCTAGTATTTTCCGGGCCAACCAAGGCTCATTCTCAGCCCTCTTCTCGAGGGGGTCTGCTTCAGGCCGACCAGGGCCAACACACCCACTGCTGACAGCAAATTCACACCTTCCATTAGAGCAAGCCTCTGATTGGTGGGTAGAATCAGCCCACATGGGCTTAAGGCAAGGATGTGTGGAATCAACTGGGCCAGGCTGGGGCCGACTGGGGCTACCCGGCCCGGGCCGACCCGGTACAGATGGGAATGGCCCATTAGAGTAAATCAATGAAAAGTATTTCAGTAAATATGATATTAACCCTTTGATGCATGAATTATGAAATCTTCAACCATGATTTTTTAAACAATGTTTTCATTCATCTTTAGGTGTGAATGAAACAAATTTCAACAAATATTTTTGGTAACATTAAATAATTTACAAATAATTTATTGCATGTCCACCTCGATGGACAGCGTGCATTCTGAACATGAAATATGTTGGCTTGACTTACTGAAGTCCACAGGGGCTCAAATGCAAAAGTCTTCAACAGCTGTGCTTAATAGCAATAATAATAATAATTTGGAGTGCCTGTCCACCAGTGACCATTATGCATCAAAGGGTTAAAATAGAAAATTGAAGAAATAAAAATTTAATTAATACAAATTTTTATTTGAAATGTTTTTTTCAACTATCAAACACTGCAAAAATGTTTAAAACAAAACAAAAAACGTTTCAACAGGAGCACTTCAAAAGCAACTGCAACGCCTTTACTCAGTATGAATAAGTTCACAGCTCCTGCTGGTTTTCATATAATCAGCAAGAATAAAATAAACATCCAACATGGGAATGTAGGATAATTTAATGTTTTCTGTTCCAACACCTGTCTGAATCTTTGACATGATCAAATAAAAGCCTGCAGATTAGTTTATTTACTGCTGTTTTAAATGGTGGAGAGGGAGGCGGGGAAAGACGCACCGCTCTGCTACTGGACCAGGAGGAGAGTGGGCGACTAGGAGAGAGTCCGCCGAGTCCTCAAACACCTGTCAGGTTAGACTCCCATCCAGCTGCTGCGTCCTCAAGAACCAGATGTTATTACTAGGTCCGATTGTGTTTACTGTCGCTCTTTGTGTTTCTATGCTTATGCTGTATTATTTTAATCCAAGCCGTATGAGTTCGCCGCTGGTTTTGAGTCAGCTGGTCGGGGTTCCCTTAGAAATGATGCCCCCCACCATGGAGAAGGACACAACTTACACCAAGATCTTCGTGGGAGGGCTGCCGTACCACACCAGCGACGCTTCGCTGAGGAAATATTTCGAGACTTTCGGGGACATTGACGAAGCGGTGGTGATCACGGACAAGCAGACTGGGAAGTCGAGAGGATACGGCTTTGTGAGTCCATGATGAGCCTGCTGGTAGAATAAACTCTGACGGGACAACAGGGATTATTCTGGGGTGCTTTGGCGATAAATTACAAATGTTTAGTCTGGATTTGTTGCGTTTTGAAGACGCACGCGCTGCCACTTTAAAACTGTGTGTGTGTGTGTGTGTGTGTGTGTGCGTGCGTGCGTGCGTGCGTGTGTGTGTGTGTGTGCGTGCGTGCGTGCGTGCGTGTGTGTGTGTGTGTGTGTGTGTTTGCGCGCATTTCAGATGGTGACAGTCACACGCTTGGGGCATGAGAGACAAGTTATCTCTTGTGTCATTATATATGTTTCTGTGCAACAAACACACACACACACACAGAGAGAGAGAGAGAGAGAGAGAGAGAGAGAGAGAGAGAGAGAGAGAGAGAGCGAGAGAGAGAGAGAGAGAGAGAGAGAGAGAGAGAGAGAGCGAGAGAGAGAGAGAGAGAGAGAGAGAGAGAGAGAGAGAGAGAGAGAGAGAGAGAGAGAGAGAGAGAGAGAGAGAGAGAGAGAGAGAGATGGGGATAACAGCAACTACAGCTGGGGACTGCTATCTCTCTGCTGTGTGTGAAGGGAGGTGGTCTCCAGTCTCAGAGGTGGGACCTGTCAGTTGGCTGCCGATGATAAGACAGCTGCTTTCACTCTGACTTCCCCTTTCACCCCCTCCCCCTCTACACACACACACACACACACACACACACACACACACACACACACACACACACACACACACACACACACGAGGAAGGGTTTGGTTGTGTGTTTTGTGTCTTTTACAGTGGGTCTGTGACTAAAGCAGGCAAGACCAGAACGTGGCATAAGTGTGTGTCTATCAGGAGTGTGTTGAGATGTCTCCGCTTTGGCACCGAGCACTCCACCAAACCATCTCTGCGTAAACACCAGGAGTCTGCAGGATAAAGTTTTCTGCAGCTTGTGTTTCATGTGCAGCTGCTTCACCTTTTATCATCTTCCTATGTCAGTCCCTCGACTGACAGTGAAGAAATATTTAGTCCCTTTTGTTCAGTTTTTCATATTTTGACTCCTGCGGAATCCATAAACCCATAAAACAGGACCTGTCAGACCTCATGCAATGGGCTAAAAGAGCTCAAAAAGCTACACAAAGGTTGACGCACATTTACCAAGCGCTTTCCCCCGAGACTTTTAAGAAAATATTTTGATGGGACAAAAGTAGAACCTTCTTGTAGGTGTGTCCTCTTCCATCTGCACTAAAACTAATGTTGCATTAAAGCAAAAGGACCTCACACTCATATTCAGACATGGTGGTGGTAGCGTGATGGTCTGGGCCTTCATTGATGCTTCAGGACCTGGACCACTTGCTGTAACTGATGGAAACATGAATCCTTCCCTCCAACAGAAAATCCTGAAGGAGAATGTCTGACCTTTGACCTCCTGCTGAAAAACCTTCCAAAGTAGCTGAATTCATGCAAAGAAGGGTGGGACAAAATCCCTCCCCAGCGATATGAGGGACTCGTGATTTTTTTAATGGAGTGAAAACGTTTCACAGCACAGACGTCCCCTCCTGCTGGTATCAGCTGTTCGTTTGACTAAAGCAACTGTATTATTTGAAAAGAGACAGCAGGAAGCAGAGTGCAGACTTCATGGAGTGATGTTAACCAGCGGTGCTGCCTACAGGTGACCATGGTGGACGGAGGAGCAGCAGAGCGGGCGTGCAAGGACGCCAACCCCATCATTGACGGCAGGAAGGCTAATGTGAACCTGGCTTATCTTGGTGCTAAGCCTCGCAGCACGCAGACGTGTAAGTCTCTTTGTTAAAGTATTCAAAACCTCATACCAGCATTAAGGTTTTGGCCAATCTTTAACCAAATAGCTGTAAATATTTTATGGGACAACTGAGTCATAATTGGATTATTCCATCTGTCGGCAACTTCTCCTGCAGGTCCTTTTCTTTCAGGAGTAAATCTATAAAATAGGTCTCTGAAAAGAGCGTGTTCCTGAAAAAATAGCCATATGTCATCATTTTTGCAAACATTCCTAAATCAATTCATGTTTAGTTTGTTGGAAAAAACTATTTAAATTCAGGAACTTTGTTTTGTTTTTTGAGATTTTGTTTTTGTGAGTTATTTGAATGTGTGGTTCTTAGCAAATTAGGTAAAAGTAACCAAATTACCAAAAAAATAAAAACAGCTCACATCAGACCTGAGGTTAACTCAGATGTGTGTCGTGGTGGTGATTTAAGTAAAGATGGCAGAATAAGGGCAAAACACACCGGTAGTTTGCGATGCATGTCAATGATATGCCTCCATTATTTTCAGTTATCATCCTCACACACTGTGGCGTAGGAATATTTCCATGTGGGTCTTTTTTCAAGCATCAACTCTGGATGAAACACACTTTTTCTACATTTACTTCCTGCTTGGATGTCTGGACTTCTGTGGCAGCTCTTCTCTGCTATTATAGCAGCATTGTCTGATAAGTAGACAGATATGATGTGTAGAAATGTGAGGTTAAGTGATTGGACCACACTAAACCACTGGTATGTCCATCACCCAGCTAAATGTCTGCTCATTTCCTCCCGGTATCCAGTCTTTGTCTGCCTGCATAGCTCTCCTCCCACCAGGCCTTTTCCAGATCTAACCACCTCCACACACACACTGCTTGTTTCACCTCCTAGGTCTGATTGTAGATTTTGACGAAAGCTCTCCTTCTCTGCTTCATCTAAAGCTCAGCTGGAATCCAGTTTGGTGTAGGTGTTCTTGGCAAACGAGGGCGCCAACAACAGCTGACTCTGTGCCGCTATTCCAGGGGCCAGCTTTGCAAAACAACCCCAAACATGCAGCCGATGGGAGACGGCAGCGCGTGGTGATTTGTTACTGTGTGAGAGAGAAGGAGACAATACAGGGAGCGAGAGGGGATGGGACTGTTAGGAGCAAGAAATAGCAGCATGTCTGTCTTCTCTGAAAAAAGTGCACGTAAATAAAGGTTTGAACAAAAGACAAGTGGTAGTGAAGTCATAGCAGAGTCGTAAAACAGAAGCAGCGCTGAAAGAAGCAGTGAGTAAGTGGAGGGGTGAAGAAATCTGGAAGCAACCAGGTCACGGATGTTTGGGCTCGCTGTAGTGTGTGTTGTTGTTGGTGTGTGAAAGCTGCAGGGAGGTGTGTAGCGCTAACATGTGCATGCTAATGTCTGAGCGCAGCAAACAGAAACAATGTATAGTGTGTGTGTGTGTGTGTGTGTGTGTGTGTGTGTGTGTGTGTGTGTGTGTGTGTGTGTGTGTGTGTGTGTGTGTGTGTGTGTGTGTGTGTGTGTGTGGGCATGCTAACATCCCTCCTCTCTGTTTCTTTGTGTTCAGCTGTTACAGTTGGAGTTCAGCAGGTCCATCCTACGTGGGCTCAGAGGCAGTACGGGTAAGACTCAGAAGAATCAATACTCATGTTTCCTCCTCTTCGTCCCTCTCACCTGCCTCCTCCTCCTCAACACTTCCGTCTTTGACATCTGTGAGCACCAATGCTGCTTTTCTCTCTCTCTTGTAAGAGAAATAGAGGAGAAAATAAACTGGCTGTAGTTTGTTTGAGTCCTAAAACCTCTGGAGAAGTCTGCTTCAGTGTCAGAACGCTGCAGCTCCATGTTGTTTCTGGTCCATTAAGCTCCAGAGATGCTCAAAATCTGAACTTCACTCACAAATTAGTCAGGCGTCAGTGTGGCTGGAAGGAATTTAAACACGCACACACGCTTCCTCACACACAGCCAAATGTCTCATATGAGCCAACGTATCCTTACCCAACGTCTCTCATTCCTGCTGAAAAAAACAAGATAAACGATTTTGATTAATTTACCTTTACACGTTCAACCAGACCCTGATGTTTCCTGCAGATAACATGTATTTATGCATATTCAAATCAGCAGGTCCTGAGTGGTACAGTCAACAACTAATGTCTCATCATGATGAACAACGTTCATCTTATTTTACTGTCTAAACAATATTATTGTTTGATTAAACACTTTAGAAATGCACAACTGCAAAGTGTAGACACTTTTCTATTTATTTTAAAAATGAAAGAATGCACAAGGCGGATAACCTGTGCATTTAATCAACATAAAGCAACATGTACCAAGGAGGCGGGGCAACTTAGGATATTAATTTTATTTATTATTAATAGCAAATTGCGTCCTCGTTCCCGTCAGAGGAAAAACACACGACGGTTAAAGGTTTGATTAATTTGTGTACTTTTGCACAAAGAAGATGCTACTTTCACTCAGCTTTAGCTGACTTGTAACTGGCCCAACCCATCTGTCAGCTGTCTAAACAGAGTATAACATAAAATTCATCACAACCCAGATATTCAGCTTCAAACTATTTCAGTCAGAGCCACAACTATTAGCATCATGGTGACGTGGCATTAAAATTTAGAGGATCCTTTGTGAATGTCAGTCTTTGTTAAATAAACAAATCGGCACAATAATGTTCTAGTGAGGTGAGCGATGGCTGGCTGATGGTGTCATGTACAATCCATCATCTTCCCTTAACACTCTGGAAAAACCTAAAATTAGAATTTTTATGAGTCTGACAAACATGAACATGAACTATCAGATGTTCTGCAGGCTGACACGGTCAGAAGCTGCCGCTGCAGGAGAGTCCATTAAAAACCAAAACTGTTTCTGAGTGCTATTAATATTGCAGTTCTTAATTTGTGAATGAGGGATGGGGGAATTTCTGCTGACCCAGATGAGTCTATGAATGAGTGATGAGGGTTTGAGAGGGCGTCTTGCTCAGTGAGGGTGGACAATTGAAGCTGGAGGGTTTGGCCTTTTATTCTGAAGAGTTTGACACCATGTAGCATGAAACTAAGGAGGAAACTGTGCTAAAACTAACAAACACTCACACGGTGTAAACACACACACACACACACACACACACACACACACACACACACTACTTTTTGCTGAAGTTTAGACAATAAAATGCATCTTTGTGGTGATTTATCGATTCATAATTTAGTCATTTGTCAGAAAGGAAATTGTTGCTGCTTTTATTTTGTCAAATCAACAAGAAAGTGGGAGCTGTTTTTATCATTGTTTTAATCAGATAGATAAATTAAATAATAAATAAATTAAAGGTGCAGTATGTAAGGATATAGTGAGAATTTTACATAGAGAAAATCCCTAAAGGGTCCAATGTTTCAGTCATGTTGGAAGGAAGGTTAAACTAAAACATATTTCACATCCAGCTGGCTGCTGGATTGTCAGGTTTTCTCCTTTCAAAATAAAGGTAGGAGGGACAGAACTGCCATTTAGCGTCAGTGAGTTTGGGGTTGCCGTGTCTCCCGCGAGCTTATGCTGCAGCGCCTACAACTGTAATTTGACGACAGCTGTCGGAAAGCTCCAGAGTTGTTTAAAGTGGTAACTACAATTTACCACAGGATGCATTTTTACTTCATTTTTACATAATGCACCTTTAATTGTTTACTGAAGCCCAGATGAATAAATGTAAGGTTTGTAACATCTACCCCTTCATCATTTCACCTTTTCATATATTCAGCATAGGCATCTAATTGTCAGCTTGTGGTTTGAAAACCACAAGGATTTATTTAGTAGAACATGTGCAGCAGCAGAAGAAGAAGCGATACCAGAACTTGCCTCAGCGTTAACCTCGAGAGATCTCAGAGCAGCAGCACAGCTGCAGGAGGAAAAGTGACCATTTCACTTTTTTCAACTGATATTTTTGTACAGAGAAAGTCTCTCTGAGTGTTGTTAAGAAACTTAAGAACGTTTTGTCTTAGGGTCTGAATTCATTCATCCCAGATGGTCCCAGATTTCTGCTTGGACATAAACTATAGGCCTGAATAAATGGTGGAATCTGCTGCTAGATTTGTTTGTTTGTTTGTATGTTTGTTTGTGGATGTGCTTAGGACACATCTGTCTGAGCTGAGATGTTTCTGCTCCAGGACTCTGTTTGACATGATCAGTATGACTGCAGTCAGTTTGAAGCATTTCTGCGCAGCATGAAGGACTTTTATCTTAGGCACAATAAAAAACAACACAGCTAAAGGTTCAGACTGGGCTGAGCTGCTGCTGCTGCTGATGAAGAACCAACCCTCTCCCCATCGGGAAAGTCCACATATCTGACCTTCTTCCAAGATTCAAATCGACATTCGTAGGAAATGCTCATGGTGGCAGCTGAAACTGTGGCTGACAACCAACCAGAGCCGTGTCCAGGACTTTTAAAATGGGGTGGCCCATGTGGGGCACTTGTTTATTCATGGGTGGCACCAATGGTTATGCTTATTTATTTATTTACACAAATTGTTTATTTATTTATTTACTTTCTAGTGAATTTTTGAGTTTCACATTGCACAATCACCATTTTTTTTCCTCTTCATCTTCTACTTTTGTGGTGGTTAGCAAGTCACTTCTTGTTGCATGACTGCCACCAACTGGAGTTGAGTGGGAATCTAAATACTATGTATGTGAATATGAAAAAATATTAAATAATAGTAATACTACATGCCTGGGCCAGAAAAAAAGGTGAAAGATGCATGCAACCACACACTATTTTGGAGTTTACAACCCAAGCCTTTTGTCGACAATGTAAAGTCAATTTAAACTGGAACTTAGGGGGGTGGCACCTGGGGTGGCAAATCAGATTCTAACCCCAAAATTCAACTACCTTCGCTCCGCTGCGCTCCGCTCCGGCACGAACTCCGCAGCAAAATCGGTTCCGTTGTAGTCAATCAGAGCTGTTCCACTACTGCGGCCGTGCGGCGCAGTGCGCCGCCCGCCGTTCCGCCATCCGGCAAAAATAGGATCGATCCTATTTTTGCCGAATGCCGGAGCACCTCTGCAGTCAATGGACAGAAATCACAACCGCCCAACAGGAAAGGGAGCAAGCACAACTTCCGTTATTTCACAATAAATCGATGAACAAAAAGCGTTTTTTGTGTCATATTCACAATTTTTAACAACTATCAATGGCGGTTGAACTTTAAATGCACAAAAATAAGCCATAAATACAGTTTCTACTATCAAAGTAGTCACACTTTGTTGATCCAAACACTGCTGATCTCTCAACACACATGATGGGCAGATCAAACAGTTCATGTTGATGCTTCTCCCACACAACGGGTGTTTGGATCTAACTTCCGCGTTTATTGCTCGGACTGTATCGCATTCGCAAGATCTCGACAATCCCGTGCATGCCTGTTTGCGCACCTCAGGTCTCCGCACCGGAGCGGAGCCGTTGTAGAGCGGGTACCATTGAGTTCGGAAGCGAGCGGCTGCAGAAGGCCGGGGCGGGGCGGAGCGGAGCGGAGGTAGTGGAATCTTGGGGTAAGGGTGGCATGTGCTACCCCAGGCCACTTCCTGGACACGCCCCTGCAACCAACTTCAGAACAAATATCTCATTAAAATTATTTACTTGTAAATTACGTAAATTACAGCATCCCTAAAGCCCTTTAACAGGACATTATCAGTTATCTATTAACTCAATTGAGAATTGTCATTGGTCACTAACACACAGCTAATCAGCCAATCACCAGGCAGCATCTAGAGGACATGAAGCTGACTGGCATGCATAGAGAAACTCAGAACATGCAGATCTACTGGGATTTTCACCCACAACCAGCTACAGGGCTTACAGAGACTGGTCTGCAAAAGAGGAAATATCCAGGGAGCAGATGCACGGCTGAGGTCAGAGGAAAATAGTGATGCGGGTTCCTACCAGGGTCTGCAGAAGAGCATCTCTGAACAACATGATGAACCTTGAAGCACCTGAGCCTGGTTACCACCACAGCCCACCTGAGTATTGTTGCTGACCATGTCCACCCCTTTATGACCACATGGACTGCTGATGGCCACTTCCAGCAAGATCATGCACCATGTTACAAAGCTTAGATCATCTCTAACTGGTTTCTAGAACATGACCATGAGTTTAGTGGACTTCCAGTGGCCTCAGACCAGTACAGAACCTTTGGGATGTGGTGGAATGGGAGGTTCTCATCGTTATGGGAGCTGATGCTGTCATATCAGTGTGGACTAGAAGCTGTGAGGAACTCATCCAGCGTCTTGTTAAATCTATGAGATGAAGAATTAAAGCAGTTCTGATACAAAAGTGTTGTATTAGCTAGGTTGATGTAATGAAAGCATTTTCTGCTTAACTGGGAGCCGTGGAAACCAGTGGAAACCCACAGATAAATGATGTAACACAGTAGAAGGTCTAAGTTACTTTTTGAGGTTTCCACTGTTCTTCACATGAACAACCAAAACAATGAGAGTTGTTTTATAGATTTAGTCATCTCATCTCCCTCTGTGTGTTTGAGCTAAACCAACCAGCTGCTGCTGTCGTCCCAGATGTTAGACGCAACCGTGAGTCTGCTCTGATTCCCCCAGAGCAAACTAAGGAAATAAAAAA